TTCTTGCAAAGCTAGGCAAGAATGGTCGTGAGATTTTTTAGTGTTTGGAACAAGTTTACGGGGACAATTCTCTGAAGAAACAAACCATCAACAAGTGGTTGAAAAGGTTTCGGAAATGCCGAGAAGATGTGAAAGATGACCAACGATCAGGACGCCCCTCCACATCGAGCTCTGAGGGAAACGTTGAACGAATTCGGAGCTGTGTTCTTAAAGACCGTCGATTGACCCTTAGAATGATAGCTGAGGAACTGTCAATCCCCAAAACAATCGTCCACAACATTCTGACACAACAACTTGAAATGAAAAAATTATGCCCGGAAATCATTCCGAAGTTCCCGGCTCTGAAACAGAAAGCAAGAAGGGTTGCTTGCTGTGAGGATTGGTTGGAAGCAGGGGGGACTTTCTTGGCCGGGTCATCCCTGGATACCAGTCTGGGTTCTATGAATTCGATGTGAAGCTGAAAACTCAAAGCATGGAGTGCAAGCAAGCCGGGGAACCGAGAACCAAAAAGTCGAAATCAAGGTCTAATGTGAAAACAATGTTTTGATTGTTTTCTTCGATTCTCGGGGCACTGTTCACCAGAAATTTGTCCCTCCCGGCTAGACAGTGAACGAAAATTTCTACATTGAAGTTTTGGGTCGTCTCAGAGCTCGTGTCTCCCGAGTTCGACCTGATTTGGCACGAGGGGGCAGGTGGATCCTTCATCACGACAACGCGCCTACTCACACGTCTCTCGTTGTGCGTGAGTTTTTGGCCCGAAGCTCAATCACTGTGGCAGCCTGTGGAAGATATCAAGACAGAAACGAACTGACAAATGAAGAGTCTCACAATTAAGGACTTTCAGCGATCGTATCAACAGTGGAAACGGCGTAGGCAGAAGTGCATCTTGCCTCAGGGGGGTACTTTGAAGGAGACCACATTGAAATACCTTATCAATTGTAAAATAAGGTTATTATTCCACTTTTATACGTATTTTCGTGACAAACCTCGTATACGCAAATCCGCCTCTCAGGCAGTGTGCCTGATGGACCGACGACCGATGCCGGCCGAACTCCAAACGCCAAAGGAATGTAACAACAGCTGAAAATGGCAGGTGATGCTCTCAATATGTTTCAGCAGATGGTACAGCTGGCTGGTCGCTGCTCCGCAGACCAATACTACGACATTTCAAGGAAATATGCGCCGGCTGCCGGATCTCCAGCTCTCATCGGTACTACCTGTGCCACTACCATTAACCTACCATTAAACCGTCTTCCGAAACCGAACTCGTTCTTGCTGCCGAAAGTACAAACAGATCGAGTGAGGATGCCGATCTTCAGATCACCCTCAACAAGTTTAATACTACAATCACACCCTGCAACATATGATGAAAATAATATTTAGAACAAAAAATATAAAGTTTTGCTATACTTAAACTATCACAGTTGTCGTTTTTACGAAAAATGGACAAACTGGCGGTTGGTGGTGTCGGCAATCCACCACGGCATATCATTTGTGTGTCTATTCTATTGTTGACAAAAAGCACGGCTTTACGAGGGCTTGCCAAGAATTCTTTTTAATTATATGAAATATAAATGTGTTTTTCTATTCCGCATTTCTAATTCAACACTGCCATAATTACAACCCTTACAGATTTTAAGTTATGGCCTATTTAACCTTCAAATGCATCAAAGGAGATGAAGGCTTGCCTCATAAATCTATAAAAAGTATTTTTGTTACACATGGTAGCAATAGTAACCTAAAATAAAAGTCTCTTAGGCAGCCTTTAGAAGACGCTTTATCTCAAAAATCACATTTGCAGTTACAGCAGTATTGAATTGGGGGTGCGAATAATTTAAACGACAAATGATTTTCAGGCATTTTTTATTTACATATACATTATATTTAAGTTGAAATTCCTGATTCGGATCTCTTCTTGGTTTCTACAATTCAACATATAGGAGTTCCTGATGCTTCTTAACCTATCTTATGTACAAGGTTTTTACTCTCGACAATGCAAAACAAGTTAAACCAACACAAGTTTCTTTTTCTCCTACAAAAGCTTTATCTAATGTTAATCCTTGTAACTTATTAATGCTTATTGAAAAAACCAATTGTAATGGGAATTGCTCTCTGGACTAAATTGTAGTTCAGATTTTACAGAATTTGATTATGGGTGGTATTGGAATACAGCCGCTACTTCCATATGAATGAGAAGTATATATTTATGAGAATTTTCACGGCAGGGATCACATTCCACCTCCCGAGCCCTTCTCTGACGTTTTCTTATACGGTTTAATTCCCGTTCTTTACTGTATAATGTACGTCTACGTGTCATTTTGTTTAAACAATAAAATTAACTTATCCAACATTCTGATATTAAATGTTATGCTATATTATTTAGATAGCATTTACATGCTTTTGTTGTATGTATACTAAGTGACATATAAATCCGAACACCCAGTTTAAATGGTTTTATTTTAATAAAAGTTGGTGAATGTATTTATCTTACTGTAAATAACAAGTGAAAAAATTTTCAGCCTTATCAGTTGGACATTCCGGTTTTTATACTGCTTTTTTTTAATTCACTAACGCTCTAAAAATGAATATTTCAGCCGCAGTAAAGAATCAACGTTGGCGGATTTTGGTTCTTGACATCCTTTACGATCGGTTACGATGCCTAGAGTACGGAGACCTGTACGATTTCGTCAACTTAGTGAGTTTGATAGGGGCCGTATAGTGGGACTTCGGGAAGCTGGACTTTCTTTTCGGGCAATTGCAGTTAGAGTGCAAAGAAGTGTAGACACTGTGGTTAGGTGTTGTCAGGCATGGCTTCGAGAAGGCCGTACGCAAAGAGCAAGGGGCACTGGACGCCGCCGTAGAACAACAGACCGTGAAGATCGCCGCCTAAGATTATTGGCCTTAAGGGACCGTTTCTCCACTACCAGGTCCATTGCAAATGAATGGTTTGCAGAATCTTCCGAAGACCTATTGGCATGCGAAGTGTTTACCGACGAATGAGAAGTTTTGGCTTGTTTTCATACCGGCCACACTGGGTCCTCCCTTTAACTCGAGAACACCGACGTAATCGCCTTGAGTGGTGCAGACAACGGTCACTCTGGGATCAGGAATGGAACAGTATTGTCTTTAGTGACGAGTCTCGATTTTGTTTAGGCATGCACGATGGTCGTGCCAGGGTTAGAAGGCGACGTGGTGAAAGGAGGAATCCACAGTTTTTTGTTGAAAGACATGTTCATCACACTGTTGGAGTTATGGCTTGGGGTGCTATAGCTTATGGTTCCAGGTCATCTTTAATTGGAGGAGTTGGTGGTTGCCTGGAATGAGATACCACAGGAGGACATTGACCACCTGATCAGAAGCATGCCTAGGCGCGTTGGAGAATGCGTAGCACATCAGGGTGCCTCCACACATTATTAAAGGTCAAAGGGCTTTAAAGCAGTGCAATCATTTTGAAATTTTTATCATTTACTTATTATGCTTCATTAAGTACTTATACAAAATTTTATTAAAATGAAACCATTTAAACTGGGTGTTCGGATTTATATGTCACTTAGTATATTTACCTAAATAATTGTAGTACCTACGTTTGATAAACGCTCTAAGAAAATAGTCTTTTATTTTCACTCACCTATCGACGATCGATCCAATTTCCCCGCAGCTACTGGGCAGATTTTTCTCAAGACTACGAAGCTTTTTCGTCCCTGACATGGTAGTAATATTGTGTAAAAATTTCATCAATATCCGACTGGTACTTCTCAAGTTATAGGCTGTTACAAGATTAGCGGATAGACCGACAAACAGGCAGAGAGACTGACGGAAATGAGCGACATGTTTTTTCGTGGTGGACATGCCATAAAACATCTAAAAAAACATAGGTATCTCATTTTCGAAATATTTTGAGATTACAATACATCCTCACCTAGTAGCGTAGGAAGTAAAATGGTGTCAAGTAGGTTGATTCTGCACTTCCTACCATGGGCGCCCGAAGGAATTTTTCCCAGGAGGCAGATCATCGACAAGACATAACTTTTTGCCAAAGTGCACCTACCCCCCAAAACTTAAAACAAAGTTGTACTGAGGAAAAATATGAATATCACAAGAAGTAAGTTTTGAGAAAAGCGAATTTAGACTAGACTCGTTGTACAGGGTGGGTCAAAGATCTAACAAAGTACCATAGATGCGTTATTATAAGAAATTGCAATTATTATAAATAAAAAAATATTTTCTGATATACAGGGTAGCTCAAAGTGAAACCGGACCAAACGTTTTTTAATGGAAAATCCTTTTATTTTTGTATTTTCAGATTCTCATGATTTTAAACATTTTTTATGCGTTAGCTTCCATGCCTGAATTTTTGAGATATTGAGGCTAGAAATGAGCCTTTCATCATATGCGACAACCTGTAAAATCTAAGTGCTGATTAACCAGCAAAATACCTATCTTAGGTTTTACGATCTGTTCTAATATGATAACTACCCTAACGGGAAATTTATTACACACGACCTAGAACATAAGAAACTCTCTAACCTCAATAGCTCAACGCAGAATTATTTATAAGTATTTTTTTATTTGGGACAGGAAAAAATAATGAACCAAAAAAATGTTCATTCAAAAGAATATAGAACAAAAAAATAATGGTAACTGCTTAAAAATGAACGTTTATTTCTTTCGTCGCATATTGGTGAATGGTAAATTATTTCGGTAACGATCAGTGGACGTTCATCTTTTTTTCATAAAAGGGCTGTGATATTTATCTTTTTTCTTTGCATGGCAAGTTTTCAATTGGGTTTAACTAAGAACTGTCATTGTTTTTGTGTGTTTCCAATACCTCATGGGATTGTACTGCGAACTACATGTTGACGGATCTAACTACAAAACACGAAATTTGTGACATTCATCTTTTTTCCCATGTACCCTTCAAATTTTAAAGTCCATTTTTTATGCTTCTGCCTTCTAGTTTGAATATTTTTGCTGAATACACGTATTTACTTTTGTTCCAGGGTGACTGCTCCTATGTACCTTGGGAATCCATCGGCCATAATCATCAACAACACGAATACACCGTGGGACAAATTCGGAAAAGAATTCATCTTAACGTTCGTAGTTGTGTTTTCCTATTTCATTTCAATGGATACATATAGAAAATGGGTAGGAACATCCTCACTGACCATTGGATCAACTTATGCTGCTTGCTCTTTTGTTTCGGTAAGGAGGATAGGCCAAGTCATAATATAATTATCAGAAGAATATAAAAAAATCTACGACGTGTACTTTTCAAATTATATGCTTTAAAACATCGGAAAAATCTACACTCCGTGATGTTCTTTTATTTCACATTACTTAGAATTTCAATTTTTTCGTAGACGTAGTGTCGGACAGTGTCATTTTACGTAGAGAAAGCAACACTCCAACTGGTCTCACTGACATACTGCTACATGAGAAATATTTATAGATACATATACTCTCTCTGACACGAGACCTGGATCCTATCACTGCTTGGGGACGCAACGATCTTGTACAGTTCAATGCTTCCAAAACACAGTACTGTACTTTGACGAACAAAAAGCGTCCCTGCGCGCACCTGTTTTCGATGGATGGCCGAGTTCTGCCAAAGAGCCATTCATTTCGGCTGGTCGGAGTCCAGATCACCGAGGACCTGATCTGGCACGAACACATCTCGTCAATAGCTGCAGCCGCTGGGAAAAAGCTAGGCTATTTGTTTAGGGCTAGAAGTACTTTTCTCCGCATGACCTCACTCTATACAAGGCCCAGATAAGGAGCCTCGAGTATTGCTCACACGTTTGGGGTGCTGCCGCCCCGACTACATTATCCATGCTCGATGCTGTCCAGAGGAGAGCGGTCCGACTGATCGATGACTCTTCTCCAACAGACAGCCTCGGGACTCTTTCGCACCGGCGGTCCGTCGGCGATCTAACTCTTTTCTATCGCTACACTAACGGGCTTTGCTCCTCAGAGTTCTCTTCCATGATGCCGCCACGCGATGTGCCTGCCAGACGGACCCGTCTGACTTTGGCGTCCCATCCTAACCGTGTCGAACTTCATATATCCAGAACTGGCCGATACGACCGTTCCTTTGTCCCGAGGGTGTCGAGATTGTGGAACAATCTACAAGAGGAAGCTTTTCCCAGTTCTATTAACCTTAGGCAGTTCAAAAATCGTATTAACAAAATTTCTTTGGGATCATCATAGCAGTCGCGGTGTTCCGGCATTTAGGCTTCTGCCTGCGCGGCTGCTTCTATATATAAAAAAGGGTGTTTTCAAAGTTGAGTCATTTATTTTAACAGCTTGTAGCGTGATCTTCTCGTTGTTCTTTTAAATAATATCCTGAGTCACGAAGTCTAATAACTAAATTTACAAACATCCGTGGGACCTGATGATTTCTGAAAGGAAACCTTTCCGCATACAACCTGCATGCTGCGGCTGCATTTTGTTGACGCTCTCCGTATGTTAGTATTATGTCCACTAGTTCATTGTTTTCGTGGGCCATTTTTTCGCACAAAATAATCAGACAAATGAAAGTATATGCACTATTAAAACACTGATACGACTGATAAAACTAAAGACTCGTACTAAAAACCGTACAATAACATAAAAAGTTTGCCAAATTCAGATAAACGATAAGAGTATTAAACAGAAAAACGCTAAGATTTTACATGGCAGTGGTCGAGAATATCAAAAAATCTATGTAATAACATTATTTTTGAAAAAAATTGTCTTTTACTATCTCTTTTATTATGCACTTTTTATATAGGTGATTTTTGGTATACCAACTCCTACAAGCAGTTAAAATAAATGACTCAACTTTGACAACACCCTGTATATTTTAGCAATACATAATTAGATATTATCATAGTACGTACCACTTTATAAATGATAACTGTTTTTATATCTATACACATACAGGGTGGCCCATAAGTCCTTTGAGCTGGAAAAAAAGGAATAAAACCAAACTAGTTACATTATGAAGAATTATTATATTTTGTTATCATCTTCATTGAATGGGAATTATGTTTTAAAAATCACATCGTCTAAATGCAATCCATTACGATCACGGCACTCATATAAACGACGTCTAAAATTGTCGATGACTACGCGGCAAGTCAACACTGTAATGCTTGCCATTTCTCTTCGGATGTTTTCTTTCAGCACATCAACTGATCGCGGAGTGGTGTCGTACACTTTACTCTTGAGGTAGCCCCATAAAAAGAAGTCCATTGGGGTCAAATCTGGACTACGTGGTGGCCAGGAAATGTCTCCTCTTCGAGAAATTACTTTCCTGGGAAAAAGTTGACAGACGTTGACAGATAGAAGTGTTGGAGGTGTGGGCAGTTGCTCCGTCCTGTTGAAACCAGGTCTGCGTATTATAGCCTGGAAAATTCTGCAACGCTGGTGTCAAAAACTCTTCTATCATTGCTACATACCGCTCCGAAGTAACAGTTAATGCGCGACCTCTGTCGTCCTCAAAAAAATAAGGGCCTACGATGCCATGCGCTGACATAGCAGCCCAAACTGTAACTTTAGGGCTGTGTAAGGGCTTCTGATGCTTACGCCTTGGATTTTCGGGGCTCCAATAACGGCAATTTTGTTTATTTACATGCCCGTTTAAATGGAAGTGAGCCTCGTCCGAGAACAACACATTATTGAGCGAATAAAATCGATTCAACATTTCATTCGCAAAGCTTAGTCTCTGAATAGCGTCATTATCTTTTAATTCCTGCACTAACTGAATTTTGTAAGCGTGCAGATGTAAATATTTCCTTAAAATCCGCTGTAAAGATGTTCTGGGTACGTTTAGTGCACTGGAACGCTTACGAGTAGACTGGGTAGGATTTTGACGAACAGACTGTGCCACAATGTTGATGTTTTCTTCAATACGAGTTGACCTTGGTCGACCCCACCGCTGTTTATCTAACGTCGAACCAATCTCTTCGAACTTAGCAACCCAGTTCTTAATCGTTTGAGCTGTTGGACACTTTGTAAAATTGTGTAAATTGTGGTATTCTCGATATTTACGCCGCGCAATGGTTGCCGAATCATTATTTTGATAAAACGCGCGCACACAAAAAGAACGATCCGCTCCAGTGAAACACTCCATGGCGACTGAATTCCCAGACACTGAAGATACTGCCCCCACCTCGCCCGCGCCGCTCACGCTCACCCGTTAAATTTTATTCAAATTTGAAATTTCAAAGGACCACCCTGTATTTTTCTGAATTTTATGATCCTTAAGTGTGCCACCCATTTCGCCTAACTTTTAATTTGTGTTACTCCATCTATGATGGTTCTCTGAATACTTAGTCAAGTAGATTGACTTAGTACTTATGACGCATTGATATAAACAAACACGCACTGACAAACCGACATAAATGAGAAACACGGACTTGTGATGCAGATATCTTTAATCAATAGAATTCTTGTGAACCGAAGTTCGAATATTATCGCGATTTGAATATCTCCCTCGTAATCTTGAGTTTTGAAAATTGATTCAGAGGCGGCGAAAATAAAATTGCTGGAACATAGTGTCACAACGTTTCAGAGATTCCTGACCATTTTAAGTAACTGTTTCATTGTTTGGAGGACATGAAAACTGTAGGACTGAAGCTGTATGCGATAAATGGTTGTAAATTGTTGTGTATTTGGTGTCAGTCAAAGACCTTCTTTTATTAATGTAATATGTGTTCACTTTATTATATTAATCGGCACAAAAAGGAAAAAAGACATGTCTATTGCCTATTGGATGACACCTTTTTTGATTGAGGATGACCCCCTATCCCTTATCGCTCCCTTTCGTTTGATCCATGGAAACCGTTGGATACCTATTTTAAAAGTGTTTTCAATTTCAGATGCCTCAGTTGAACCCAGCGAGATCTTTAGGACCAGCTTTCGTCCTGAACAAATGGGAGAGTCACTGGGTGTATTGGCTCGGTCCATTGCTAGGAGGAGTCCTCGCTGGTCTCATCTACGAATACATTTTCAATTCTAAGCATCACAAGAGAATGCAACAAACCCAAGATGAAGAATCATCTAGTATTCATTCGGATGACGTGGATAATTTTGACGACTTGGACAAACCTGCCACCTATAACAATTACAGACAGTCTGTCAGCGAAGGGCCCGATTTAAATTACTGCGGCAGTCTGTACTCAGCTCCAAAACTGGAAAGACAAGAGTCAATATATGGAGGAACGAAGTCTCTATATTGTAAATCTCCATCTTTAACCAGACCAAATCTCAACAGATCTCAGTCAGTATACGCTAAATCAAATACGTTTATAAACAAGGATATCCTGCCAAAAAATGGGCCGTTAGTGCCAACTCAATCGATGTATCCTATAAAGATCAATCATCAAAGCCACATCCAAAATCAGAACGTGCAGAATTTCCTTCAGCAGAAGGCAGAAGGTAGCTATGGAACAAGAACCGGTACCACAAGCAGCAGCAAGCCAGAAACGCACGCAAGCACAAACGAGCTAAAAAGAGACAATTATGCCATCGAAAGGCACCTGTACGATACCTATTCGACGGCGACCGCTGAAAGACAAAGAAGAGACAAGGATGTTCCGCAGAATGCTAGAACTCATTTGGTTAATGGAGAACCTATGGAGGCAGCTACTGGTACAACTCGTAACAATAGACCGGAGTCTATGTATGGCAGACTGAGTTCTCAAGCACGTCATGTTGCATCTACGGCACAATCAGATGATTCAAACTATAGCTCGTATACAACGAGCAGCAGTACAAGAAATGTCGTCCCCGCGTACAGCGCCAGTTATCATAACGCTGCAGCCGCCGCCTCTGGTGCTGTACCCAACACTTCTCAAAAACCTTACAGTGCTTCTGGTTATTCTGGAAGATGTTCTGATAACAGGACAAATCAAAATACTCAACTATTAGCAGCTGCTCCTGCTTTGGGTGCATATCACCATCAGCATTCACCTAATCCGCATTCTCAGTATTGATTTGTTTTTTATAAAAACTGTTACCATTAAATCTGTTATCATAGTCGACGCATCGACCGTCATTGCCTTTGCCTTCTTTGAGGCGCGAGGCTTCCTTGGAAACAATGGATATTAAATATTTCCTTGGAAAAAGTGAAACAATAGGCTGCTTTACACGTACGGTTTTTTCCGCGCCAATTCTTTTGGTCCGACACTTCCGTGTAAATGCTCGGCCGCTGGTGCGTGGAACGTAGCGTGGACCTCCAGAACGGAACGCCTGAGGCAGCAGCGTTGGCCGCAGTAGTAGACTCTTCGGTCTCCTGATCAGTCGTGTGCGGGTTCGAATCGCGTTCCAAGAGAAATTTTTCTCTTGGCTATGGATGTTGTGATTGTCCGTAGGTGGTAGACGGTCTCTGACTGTCGAACGCGGAGGTACCACCCGGCGGATCTCGTAGGCGGAGCCAGAATGTGTGCATGTTGCTATATATATATATATATATATATATATATATATATATATATATATATATATATATGTATATATAGGGAGCAGCCTTGCTTATGGAAGGTAAAAAGTGATGACTAAAAAAACAATGCTTATCAAGAAGTGCAATTTTCTAAAGAAAACATTCCATCTTCGCGCCACTTTTTACCAAAAACATTCTTTTATTTTGGTTTCCGTGTTAACATATACGTATTTGTATATTGCATCACAAGCTATCGTCTGGTCTCTTAACTTTTTCTTAAACATCAACCAGTTAGAAATCCAACACGCCACTCCAAAACTGTGGGGTTTTGTCTTTAGATGCTCTGTTTTGCCATGTACGCTCCAAACGCACGGAGTTAGAGCGCGCTCCAGGAGCCTTGTCACATTTCTTGTACAACGTGCCAAACGCGGACGCTCCAAGCACGCACGCCTCTCTAAACGCGACAGACGACGCTCCAAAACCTACAGATTGGAACGTATGTGTAAAGCGGCCTAATGACGTTACCTTGAGGAACGTTCAAGGGAGGACTTAAATATTCATTTTACAATAGGCTGTAGCAGTTGTCATCGCAAGCCGTTGTCAATGTCAGATTTTTCTTTGCTAGCCGTATCATATATTTAGCATCTTCATGATAATATTGAGACGATTTGGTTTATTTCTGATAAATATCAATAAAAAATGCAAAATAATGTTTGCTCCTTTGAATCACCTGAAGTTAAAAACTGAACTTCGGCTAGTGATGGCAATATTATACTTATCCGTTACTCAGTAATCGATACTCTACTGGATCCGAAATAACCGATTACAAAATTTGAGACACGATGGTTATTTGTGTAATCTGATTACTAGTGATACGGAACGTAATCGTCCGTGCAGGTATGTGTCATTACACGTTGCAGTTGCCTCCATGGAACCTCGTATACGATTACTGAATACGTGATTATTGGTACGGGCAACGGACTATGTACGTATCTCAACCTCAAAGCAAAATGGGCTGCATATACGTCTTATGAGCTTAACTGCACTGGAATATGAAAATGAAAGCCATGTGAATCATCAGAAGGAAATTAGGAAGTTAAACAGGTGACAAATGTTTGACAAGATAATGTATATATAATATAATTATGAGTATGATATAAATGTACAAATAAACATCATTGTTTTTTTTTCTTTTCTCGCATTTCACTTATACTACCCGTATAGCCGAAATCACGAAAGATGACGATTACGTCATCATTTTAGTCTGTAGTAAAGACAAACGACAGGGATTTGTAAATATTTTTAAGATAGACGATAGACGTCCATTGATTACTTCAGTACAATTTATGGTATGACGTAAAGGTTTGCTTTCATGATTCTGACTATATCATACTACTTCGACTATTCGTGTATAACAAAATTTGATACACGATGGTTACTTTTCATCTGTGATTACTAGTCATTACTCGATACGGAACATCATCATCCGTGCCGGTATGTGTCATTACTCGTTGCCGTTGCCTCCATGGAGCCTCGAACCTCGTACACGACTACTGAATACGTAATTGCTGGTACGCGGGACTGGCAACGGACTATGCACGTATCCCAACCTCAAAGCAAAATGGGTTGCATATACGTCTTATAAACCTAAATCCAATGAACTATGAAAATGGAAGTCATGTGATGATCAAGAAAATTAGGCACTCAAACAGATGACAAATATTTGACGAGACAATGTAAATATGATATTATTATGAGAACGATATAAATGTGCAAATAAACATCATTGGTTTTTTCATTTCTTGCATTTCACTCATACTACCCGTATCATACTACTACTATTCGTTTCCTCTAAATTTTTGAACTTCCAATTTCAACGACATAGGACTGTTTGACTAAACCTCTGTAATTAATTTTTGAATTTCTTTGTACCGGTTAAATTCCTGCCGTGAATTACTAAAAATTTTATGCTAATCGTTAACAGAGACATTTAAATAAGTATGAATAACGCTGTACCCATTTGTGATGCCAGTAATCAATAATCTGTACGAAGTACCGATACTTTTTTTTAAAGTAATCGGTAACCGTGATTGACGAAAAGTAATCGTATTTCACATCACTAGTTTCAAACCTGAAGCATTATGATTGACGTAATGATAGTTGCCTATCTATCCGCACTTTCTGCGATCTCTGCTGTCACTGTCATAGTGCAAAAGCTTTGTTTTTGTATTTGTGGTGGAAAAAACATATTGGAAAAACATAAGAAAATGTACAGATTTCGAATATGACAGATGGACCCTCTAACGACCAAATTGAGCTCAACAAAAATTTTCTGGATGGATTTCATAACTGGCTGTACTGCATTTGTGTTGTTACATTCGACTTGGAATTAGGACAAGCCTTGGAGGTAACAATAATTTTACTATAATTTATCATACTATATAGCATATAATAGCTTATGAATTTCTGTCTTTTAGGCTACTTATCCTAGAAATGTTGACCTGTCGAAGCAAGACATTTCAAACATATGCTATCTGGCTTTCCCAGACTCCAATTCGGGTTGTATGGGTGACACACAATATACAATAAGACTGGAGACTAGTGGAAATGAAAAATGCCCTAAAGATTACAGTGAATACAATTCCAAATGTGCTAAACATCTACAAGTAGACTGTTCCTACTTTTTGGGTTATGTATATTTTCGGCAAGTTAAGGATATCACATTGCCTAGAGGCTACTTACAGAAGGTATTTACTGATATCCCCCGAAAAGTCTTTTGTACCCCTTAATTACACGCCAGTTGCCATATATACAGCTCATTCACAATTATCAATTTGGCAAGATCCTTTTTGAGAAACAGTGGTCTAAGAAAAACCTTTCACGATTTTTTCTGGGTTATCAGATAGCTGCCTGTATTTGACCTTGACATTCACGGCCAATTGAAGATCACTTTCATTTTTAAACAATACCCTCTATCACCCCAGATCGAAAAATATACATTTGGATTGCAAGGAAGTTGTCATTAGGCTATTTTCTATTATGGCTTATACAGGGTGATTCACAAGTTGTGACCAGAAATGAAACATCATACACAGGGCCGCATTATAAGGGTGGTCTTCTATGTGAGATTTTTCCTCAAGTGCTTAATTAAAAAGATACGAGACGTTGAAGTTTAAAAATGAAGTATCTTAACCATCAACTAGAATGAACTAAAATTATGAATGTGGATTTACCTAAGTATTAGTGTATCTCGGCTCTTCATGAATGATCTAATTTGTTTTATTTTTATTTTTACGAAAACAGTGCACTCTAGGAAGAAACAAGTCATTATTTGTAGGAAATTGAAGGTGATATTCGAATTATTTCGCGTTTCGAAAAAAAAAAACAGTGGCGTACTATTTTTTATTTGGAAAAATAATGCCACTAATCCCCTGTATCTCCGCCACTGGCGAACGTTAATTTTGGGTAAAGACTTTTGACAAGCTTAGGTAAATCCACATACCAAATGTTAGTTCATTCCAGTTGACGGTTTTGAAGATATTAAAAACAATGTTTTTTATTTTTAAACTTCAACACCTGTATCCTTTTAATTGAAGCCTTTGATGAAAAATGTTACATAGAAGACCTCCCTTGAAAGGCGGTCCTGTGTATGATGTTTCATTTTTGGCCCTCAAGGTCAAATACATTTTAAGGTCATATCTGTCCTTAAACTACGTACTTTTTCAGAGTGTAATTTTGCTGACTTTTCTTCCATTCACAAATTTGTTCAGCAAAATATGCACAGCAATTGCTCATGAGTATTTTGAAAATGGTCCAGATTGTTTTCAAAATATATGCTCAAAAATTGGAGAATGGCCATTGCCTATGCCAGGATCCCTGATAAACTTGAATTTGTTGGACCAAGATTTTCAGGTGAGATAATTACTTTACTGTCATAGATAAAATTTAGAATAGCTTTTGTTTCAGCTGTCCAAATTGTGTAATCTAGTGGTCATTTGAACTGCATAAAGATATGTTTTCTGCATCTCTACAACTGAATCTGGAATCCATTTAGTGGTGTTCCCTATATCAGCAACAATTCTAGTTACTATAAAATGTGTTATCAAAGAATTTCCAAAAATCCTTGCATGTCTGTATTCTGGATGAAGACTGGCTTCCTAGGCAAAGCAATGACATTAATTGACAACTACTCCAGACTTTTAATTTTTTACTTTTAAGTTCGAGTACACGGCGTCTCAGAATTTCTTAATGATCATTTCGAATTCAGCACCCCCCAGTTATTTGATAACACCTTGCACATTATCATTATCTTCATGGCGCTATATACCTAAAAGTACTCTACCAAGAATGGCTTACTTTTCATTTTTTCAACATAGGTATATAATGTACTATTTGTCTATTTTTTCACCACAGTCAAAATCTAGAAAAATTGCAGTCTTATTTAGCTGTATTCAGATTCCAATTGCACATGCGTTCTTCCAAAATGTTCCCGCCCCTCCTTATTTTTTAATAGCTCAAGTTAGCAAGCTGACATTCATTTATATCGGTTTGTCAGTCAGTATCTGTTGTATATAATTGCGTCACAAGTACTGAGTCAATTGACTTGACGAAATATTTAGAGAACCATCACAGATAGTGTAACACAAATTCACGGTTAGGGAAAATGGGTGGTACAGTTAAGGATTCAGGAAAATATTTACAGGATGTTCGGAAAATAGACGTAGATATTTTAGAGGGTGATTCCTTGTTATGTGTTAAACATCGGTCCGGTAATCCAGAGTTTTCAAGATACAGGGTGACAAATTTGTTTTTTTTATTTATGGGGACACCTTAAGACGATGGTTGACGCTACTCCCATACATACTACGATAATATCCAAATATTGCTAAAATATATAAATATTGCTCCTGTAGCGGTGTGTCAGTGACGACACCACCGCAGATCGGTTGGAGTTTGTTACTCATTGCACAGTGGCAGTGGTCTCCACGACGATGCAGCATCGCGCCGTGCTCGCAACGCCAACCGCTGCCAACTTATTTCGAATAGTGAACACATCTTACATCGGACTTTTATCATTTAATTTTCTCGTTGTTCCCGGGATCAGAAGCTTCTTAATGATAGAACGTCATTGACTAATACTACAGACGTTACAATAATTGCAACCCCCAAGTTTCAACCCCTACAAAAAATATCCGAAAATGATCAGGAGCTTCCAAAACGTCAAAAAACGAAAGTTAAACGATTTACGCTCAATTTTGACAACCCGCCAATCCAATATTTTAAAAGGTAGTAAATTTAAGTTTTAGGGTATAAAGTACTGATAAGAGGCTTCAAAATGGAGATATCACATTAAATATTCCAATATGGCACCTGGACGCTACCTTTGAACTTAAAACTTTTATTTTTACATTGAAATACACTACTCATGCATCATTATTAGAATATTAGCTTGCTTACCTGAACCATTCAAGAAATAAGTAGGGAGCGAGGTTGAAAAGCACTGTGTCATATCGAAGAAAATTTGCTTCCTATGTAAGGATGTGTAGATTTCAAATCTGACATCAATTTGACGCTGGATGTGGCGAGTTGTCAGATTCGATATACAACAATTCAAAAATATAGCTTTTAAGAAGTAATGTTTCATCGTCACTGTTGCGACTCAATCGAATTTCAGCTCTACGTGCCAACAAGCGCCGATTGTACAGTAAGTCCCTCCCTAGCATTAGTAGGCGAAACAAAAGATAGTAATATTCAAACATGTATAGAAGACTTCAATTTATTCGAAGTTATGCAATCATTGTTATCTCATATTCACTTGTTATGGGAGTTAGTGATAACTTCAGAACCCATTGTGATCATGGCCTCATCTCCCGCACATTGCTCTTCTATGGTGCTAGCATTAACAAGGTAAGTACTACTATTTCAAAAGCTGCGACATTTCAATTTTTTTCATCATACCGTATCATACTAAGATCCTATCCAGCGTGGCCTCTGCTAGTATGCATGGCGTATGATACCTGCTTGGTAAGGGTTCCATTTCAATGCAGCTGTTGACATGCAGTGCCGTTAAAAGTTTTCCGACACTTGATGATTGATAGTTGACATCGAAATGATACAGCACTAAGTGCCGTCTATTACCAGAATCTACCTCTGCGAAAATAACTATGCTGATGGCACAACCCCAGTATATATTTTTTGTAAAGAAAATGTTCAGTACAGTGGACACGCGGTAATCGGACAAACGTTTTGCAGTTCGATTTCGGATATAGTCCAGAATATTTTAAATAAGAGTACCCTTGTAATTCGACAAATTACAAATCAATGAATCTATTTGAACTTCGAATCATACTTACTACATAATTATATGTATATGTATAATATGTATGTGAAATTTAGCAAATTGAACATCACAATCGAGAAAACTTATTTACGTTAGGAATTAATTTTGTTCAAACAAATGTACATAATTATGCACTGACAGATAAGTGTCCGTTGACTGCCTAGGTGCTCCTTCAATTTCGGAATCGCTGTGTCAGGGCTGTAAGGGCGATGGGCAATGACTTACCAGCCAAATCGATCGATTAAGTCCTTCGTTTGTTGTGAGACATTGTCGCATTGTCGTGGTGTAGTCTTACGCTTTGCAGAGTTCTCCTCTACGACGATTTTGGATTTCCCGTCTCAGCTTCAGAAATTTTAACCGCCTGTTCCCAGATCACACGTTTTCCCATATACTTCACTCAAGTGATTCAATTTTGCACCTGGGGTGACGGCGATGGAAGGCTCCATTGCGCATGGCTGTCGGGCTGGTACTGAGCATCGCAAATAGGCGCTTCTTGTTGGGATTGGTGGTGGGAGAGCTGACAAACAGGACGGCGTTGACAGATTTCGCCTAGCATTATATGCGGCAAAGATATAGCGTTGGGGTCCCTATTTTTAAGACAACCATTGTCTAAACCATCAAATTATTCATTATTTTTTTTGTTTTAAGTTGTTAAAGCGCGAGACCAAAACTTTCTCATTTAGTCTTCTCAAAAGTGAAGGTCCATTGTAGGAATGTATGATGACTTTCGAAACATTCTACCCATTCCTTGCTAGCCACAAAATCATCTTTTTGTATTACTTCCTTGTAAAGAAACATAGCTTTCGTGGTCAACATGGGTCACTAAAATGGGCGCATGCCTTTTTTTTCTGAAAAAAAAACAGATTTACAAAGCTTCTTCCATCTTTGGATGTTCAGCTTTCTTGAGTGTCTGTCTTTGCATGGCCCACAGTCAGCAGTCGACACGATTATGTTATTCTTCTCGTCGTGGGTTTTTTAATGTCATAAATTGTAGATCGACCCATACCGTATTCACTTGCTAAGGGGTTCATTACGATCCAGAATATCACTTCTTTCTTGGTCAGTGTTTTGTGCTTTCGCTACATGTATACAGTCAAATGCAAACTGAAACAATACGTAATCAACAGTGATAAGCGTGTCGGATTAAAGGGGCGCCGCATTACCGCGGATCCACTGTAGTCAGTCCTTACGGTGCATAGCACAGAATGGGGTGCTTGTTTTCTGTTTATTTGTGTAAATATCGAATGAATCATTATTATATGTTTTTAGGATAATCCATCCATTGCAATATTGCGGTGACTATAGGCCATACTTCACAATACACGACAAGGAATTCAAACAGTTCACTAGTACAATAAAACGAGCTCCCCCTGTGATATTGGGAGTGACAAACCCTTTTTTTGCCAAAACGTTACATCACTGGCCACATACTATTAGGTTAAATGACGATACAGGTAAATAAAACTCCAATATGTGATTCCATATTCTATGGTAAACAGAGTAGTCCTAATGATTGCACCAGAAAATAAACTTGGATTAAACCATCCCTTACTAAAAGACAAAGATGTCATTTTTCTAATCGCGAAAATTTTTGAAAATGCGATTTTTTTGTGTCACTAAAAAACATGTCATTTCCGACGGTGTGTCGGTCCGTTTGTCGGTCTGCCTGTTCACTAACCTTTGGCCCGTCTATAACTTGGATTCTTACACAATGTCACAACTATCGCAAGGACGAAAAAGCTTTGTAGTTTTTGAAAATCGGTCCAGTGGCGGCGAAGAAACAAGACAACGAAAACAAAATTGCTCGAATGTATGTATGAAAATTAGGATTTGGGGGTTTCTTAGAATGAGGAACACGATTATATTTTATTTTCCAACGTAGGGGTGGATCTTGATGAACAAAATAAAAAAAGCGTATCATTCAGTATACTCACCACTCATCATATATAGGTCAAACGTGATTCCGGGTGATTATTTTTATAAATAAAAAGCGATATCAGGCGGTGGCCAAAAAATCAACAATTCGAGATACACTAGTTAGTGAACACTTTTATAAACTCAAACTATAGAGTATCATCAGTCAGTAATCTTGAATCTCAGATCTTATGAGTCATTTTTTGTTTTCAGGCTCAGTGCAAAGATGCAAATTGAAAAAGACTGTACCTGCGAAAATCATAGATTACAATCCTGGCATTTATACCTTATACAAACCATTTTTGCAAAAAGATAAAAATATAATAAAAAATCTGAGGATGGGTGTTAGCTCAAACAGGCCATACGAAGCTCAGTCCGCGTTGTTGAAACGTCATTTAGTGGAATTGACACATAGTTTTATGATACCTTTGGAGAGATATATAGCTAGTTTGATGCCTCTTCAGAAAAACATATCACCATTTAAGGTACTGTTTTGTGTTGCATAAGTCCAAGCACCTTGTTGGTTTGCTTGTATTCACCACATTTTTTTCCAGGCTGCTCCGAAACCGTTGCCTTTCGATCCAGAAAGATTCTTTATGACATTGGAATCTGTAGGGCCACAACTGACACTGAGCAATACAGGCATAAAAGGAGACTGGGTTGGACTTTATAAAAAATTTTTCAGATCTCCGAATTTCAAAAACTGGTTCAATACGAGGTATACAGAGTTAACATTGAAATTGCAAGCTCTTCAACTTGAGGCACTTTCTAAGGCTGTGAGTATACTCTCTTGATCAGATTTCCTTCGTAACTCCTAATTCCTTAAGTGGCCGTAGCTGCCTGCGGCGATGTCTTTTCAGGTAGCACGTCATTTTACCGCTTACGTATACAGGGTGATTCACAAAGTCGTGACCAAAAATCAACATCATATATAGGACCGCATTTTAAGGAGGGCCTTCTATGTAGCATTTTTTTCCTCAAGGGCTTCATTAAAAAGATAAAGGGTGTTGTAGTTTGACAATAAAAAACAATTTTTTAATATCTTCAAAACCGTTAACTGGAATGAACTAAAATTTGGTATGTGGATTTACTTAAGCATTGTCCACATTCAAAAGTCTTTACTTAAAATTAACGTGCACCAGTGGCGGATATATAAGAGATTGGTGTCATTATTTTTCCAAATAAAAATAGTACGCCACTGTTTTTTTCAAAACACTCACTTTTTCGAATTTTACCTTCAATTTGCTATAAATAATTACTCTTGTGTGTTTTTTTAGAGTGCATTGTTTTCGTAAAAATAAAAAAAACAAATTAGATAATCAAAGCTTTGTTTCAATAAATGTTCAAAAAGACCACCATTCTGACGGATATAAGTGCGGCATCTTTCTAAAAAAGAGAAACGTATTTCCGCAAAATTTGTTGTGGCTTGAATTTGATGAAATGCATTATATTTCTTTCTTGTAACTGATCAACAGTATTAATTTGTTCAGCATACAATAGTTGTTTAAAAGTGCCCCACAAAAAGAAATCCAAGGGGTTCAAATCAGGAGACCTCGCAGGCCAATGTACGGGTCCTTTTCTGCCAATCCATCGTCGTCTCAAATGATTATTTAACCATGCGGTTATGTCACGACAAACATGCGGTGAGGCACCGTCGTGCTGATGCCACATTCGTACTCTCGTTGCTCACGGAACATCATCTAACACATTTTCTATGTAATTCTCTAGAAAAGCGAAGCATGAGTTTTGCATTTAAAGATTGTGGCAATACGTGCATTGAAAATGCCGCAACAGACGTTTCCAAAAAATATGTGTTGAAATGGGTGGATTCTTACAGAACGGGGATTTTCTAACGACCAAATATGTTCATTATGAGAATTGAAAGTTCCACTCATCGTAAAAAGCGATTCGTCTGACCACAAAACCAAATCAATAACATCTGCATTTTGATTATGCATTTGCAGTAATCACTCACAAAAATTTCGCCGTTGCACTTCGTCGCCGGGTTGCAGACATTGCAGATTTTGCCGATGTTAAGGATGTAACACTTCTCGATTTAAAATTCTCCACGCAGGACCTTGGGAACATGGTAACTGTACTTGTATTAGGATCATCCAATGCCAAATTAATCACCTCCAGTTCCTCTTGAACAGTACGCCAGACACCATGGCCTCTAACTCCGGGAAGTTTGACAATTCCATATTGCCGAGGTCTTAGAAATGAACGCGTAAAAACCTTTTTGGGTAGGTTGGCGTAGGTTAATAAATCTCCGTCGATACTCCCAAGAAGCTGCTAAAGCATTTCCATTACAGAACCCATACACAAAAATAATATCGGCGTACTGATCAGTGCCATTTCGCAACACTCAAAAATGGAAAAAAGAAACTTTTGACTTGACTTTTACAAAAAAAAATGGTAGTAGTCACGTTAACAACTGTATAACACATACCTTTGACAAATTACCTCCTAAGAAACGTCAAGTTGATATCAAAGCCTCCTATTTTATTTTGAAACTAATTGTATCTCGGCTCTTCATGAATGATCTAATTTGTTTTATTCTTACGAAAACAGTGCACTCTAGGAAAAAACACAAGAGTAATTATTTGTAGCAAATTGAAGGTAAAATTCGAAAAACTGCGCGTTTCGAAAATAACAGTGGCGTACTATTTTTATTTGGAAAAATAATGCCACTAATCCCCTGTATCTCCGCCACTGGTGAACTTTAATTTTAAGTGAAGACTTTTGAATATGGACAATACTTTTTTCGCTGAAATTTGAATCATTATCTGATTCATCAGAACTAGTGCATTGACTTTCATCGTCGTCGGAACCATCTATAGTGATTTCAACATCAGAACTGGACATTATTAAAAGTACACCGAAATCAAATGGCGGCAGACAACAACTTGCAGTATTGCCGGTTGTCACAAATACAAGTGATTGTTCCTTATTCGTTATATTTACAATATCGCAAGCGAACGTATTCGTGATTGTCATGGATGGCCTCAATAAAATATTCTTGGCGAATATATCCGTCAGAATCAACCTGTAATAATTACCACTTAAGGGTAAAAATCTAGAATTAATTTGCCGCCAGGACCCACGGGGAAATTTTGTTTTTCAGTTCTATATTTCCGAATTTCCTATGAAGGGATTTTCAAAAACCTCTACTGTTGCTTTTGCATGTTACCAAAGAACGCAAATTTTGGTTCACCCCCGTAATATAGATTGCCTATTCACGTATGTAAGACTTATATTCACTTTCGAATAGATACCCACAGTATCGATCCAATATCAGTAGTTTTTGTCTTAAGGCCGTCTGTCACGATACAAAATTTCGTATGGGAATCTTGAAAAACTCTTGTGATCTGAAGCAAAACTCCTAAATTGGATGCATAGCTTTCGTATCAAATTTAACGCTAAGGTCCCAAACGACTCATTTACCTCAGATTTCATTTCTTTGGAAAACATCGTTTTTAGGATTTGAAGGATTGGTTGCAAGGAAGACCTGAAGTAGAAGTGATAGATATGGTCCTGACTATGAAGAACAAAATAAGCAAATGTGATCAACATGATATCCCAGTGAGTGAAGACGTCAAGAAGCACTTGAGTCAACGATTGAATGATATTATCTGCGCGTTACCTGATGATCTAAGAAATATTTTGAATGTTTCCTGATGTTTACGTAACCCTTTTTATTTCATATTACCACCTTGAAATATTGTGAAATGTTGGTCAATGCCTTTATTTTTTATACAAATGTTGACTAATGATCTAAGAAATATTCTGAATGTTTCCTGATTTTTGCGAATCCCTTTATTTTTTTATTTCCACGATAAAGTATTGTGAAATTTTTGTCAATTGCCTATACTCTTGTATAAAAGTTGAGTCAACTGTTGTTTAATCTCAAATTATAAGTAGGTTGTGGTAGAACTGCATAACTTTTTATAATAAATATTTCTGAGCTCAAAACACGTTTTTTATTATACCCTAAAGTGACTAGAAAGTACAACATCAAAGACGCCCAGTTTATCAGGAACTTTAAAAGTAGTCAAAAATAGTTTGGGGATATTCTGATCTTTTTTGTTGTTTTTTTTCCCGAACTACTGGACGGCTTTCACAAAATTCGACGCTTTTTCGTCCTTGTGCCAAAATTTTATCAAAAATCATGTCTTTTTTGGACCCCCTACAAGTATTTCTTAGCACGCCTATGTAAATCGCACCAATCCACAAGTTAGAAAATACTTTTTTCTGTAGTTTTTTTTCAACAGTTATGTGCAAGTGTAAACGAATGGTGTGGTCGTGAAGTGAAAATAGCAGAATCATCATTAAATTGGATTTCAGATATATACAGATTAATGTTTGAGGATAGGCAAAAATCAGTGTTTTTGAGTAAGTATACTAAGTGACATAAATCCGAACACCCAGTTTAAATGGTTTTATTTTAATAAAAGTTGGTGAATGTATTTATCTTACTGTAAATAACAAGTGAAAAAATGTTCAGCCTTATCAGTTGGACATTCCGGTTTTTATACTGCTTTTTTTAATTCACTAACGCTCTAAAAATGAATATTTCAGCCGCAGTAAAGAATCAACGTTGACGGATTTTGGTTCTTGACATCCTTTACGATCGGTTACGATGCCTAGAGTACGGACACCCGTACGATTTCGTCAACTTAGTGAGTTTGATAGGGGTCGTATAGTGGGACTTCGGGAAGCTGGACTTTCTTTTCGGGCAATTGCAGTTAGAGTGCAAAGAAGTGTAGACTCTATGGTTAGGTGTTGTCGGACATGGCTTCGAGAAGGCCGTACGCAAAGAGCAAGGGGCACTGGACGCCGCCGTAGAACAACAGACCGTGAAGATCGCCGCCTAAGATTATTGGCCTTAAGGGACCGTTTCTCCACTACCAGGTCCATTGCAAATGAATGGTTTGCAGAACACGGAAGACCTATTGGCATGCGAATTGTTTACCGACCAATGAGAAGTTTTGGATTGTTTTCATACCGGCCGCCCTGGGTCCTCCCTTTAACTCGAGAACACCGACGTAATCGCCTTAAGTGGTGCAGACAACGGTCACTCTGGGATCAGGAATGGAACAGTATTGTCTTTGGTGACGAGTCTCGATTTTGTTTAGGCATGCACGATGGTCGTGCCAGGGTTAGAAGGCGACGTGGTGAAAGGAGGAATCCACAGTTTTTTGTTGAAAGACATGTTCATCACACTGTTGGAGTTATGGTTTGGGGTGCTATAGCTTATAGTTCTAGGCCACCTTTAATCTTCATCAGAGGTAACATGAACGCGCAGCGTTATATCCACGTTCTAGAACCCCATCTTTTACCCTATCTTGACACCCTGGCAGATCCAACTTTCCAACAAGATAATGCCCGACCACATGTTGCAAGAGTCACAATAGACTTCTTTCAACATAATGATGTCACGTTGTTACCATGGCCACCAAGATCTCCCGACTTATCCCCAATTGAGCACGTGTGGGATATGATGGGTAGGAGATTGCTCAATTTGCAACGTCCTCCTCAGACTCTAGAAGCACTTCGAGAGGAGTTGATGGTTGCCTGGAATGAGATACCACAGGAGGACATTGACCACCTGATCAGAAGCATGCCTAGGCGCGTTGGAGAATGCGTAGCACATCAGGGTGCATCCACACATTATTAAAAGTCAAAGGGCTTTAAAGCAGTGCAATCATTTTGAAATGTTTATCATTTACTTATTATGCTTCATTAAGTACTTATACAAAATTTTATTAAAATAAAACCATTTAAACTGGGTGTTCGGATTTATGTCACTTAGTATATTATCTGCAGATGCTTTTTATTATTTATTTACTAGAATAATGTACAGTATCTAAATGCTGAAAGGATAATTCTAAAAATTATATTTTTCAAAAACGCAACCATTATACCACAAGGGCTGGCGATATTTAAAAAATGAAGATTCGTAGCTAGCTTGCTTGAAAACACATCTAAATGAAAATTCGAGTATCTGCCTCCCGAAATAGTTAGCGAAATACGGTCCGCCGGTTAAAAATCACCCAAAAAAATGCCGTCAACTAGACTGACGTGATACCTCCTACACCTTCGTTAAGGTTTCTGATACAGTTTTCCATGTAGTGCGATTTCATCCATCCACACTTAGTACCAAGATCAGAAGCTTCTTGATAGCGATACGTACTAGGGCCGTATGCTCCGCTGTTCGATTTTCGTCCGCCGGCGCGCATGACGTCACGCGGAGAGTGATTATCATTTGGGGTGATATGGATAACGTGTATATTTTCACCTACAGGCCAAACGGCTGGACGGATTTTCACATATGAGGTGTCGTTGGATTCGTCTTAGCGGTGCGAGTGACACTAGTTACATTGAAATTTTATAAAAAATAAAATGGTGGATTTTAATAAAAGATTTCAACCTTGTAATTACTACTTCATAGGCTACAGATCGCATGCGTGCAGTTTCGGACTTACTCTTTGTTGATTGGGGCACTCGGCAGATGCTTTTTCAAGGTAGTGCATTATCATCTTGTTCATTGCGAATGTTGCCATTAATCCAGAGTTGGCCTTCAACTGTCCACAAGATGCAAGGTTGTACAGTCGACCATGCAGTCATTCATGTAGGCTCGCGACTGTTTGCTGTTTGACAAGCGTAGTCGTGTAAGATCTTTAGAGGGTATGCGGATTGAAGAACTTGATTGCTCTAAGTTAACAGGCAAACCCCATGCAACAGTGAAGCTTTAAATGAAATGATTCGTAAGACATTTCAATACCACATGTCCACAAAAAACTAACTGATAAATCTAACTAAAAAATGAAAGGTAAATAATTGTTTCAAAAAACTAAAAAAACACGCTTTTATAGCTAACCGAACTAAAAAGTAGAGAATAATTTTTAATTACAAATGAGTTTATATTACAGTAGTCAATTATAATTGATTACCTCAAAATAAAATTATAATAAAATTCAGGTTATCAACAGAATAATTCAATGCAGAGTGAAAAGCTGTAATATAAACTTCTTTGTAATTAAAAATTATTTTAGCTCAGTTAGCTATAAAAGCCTGTTTTTTAGTTTTTTAAATTATTATTTACTACTTTCAGTGTCTGCATCTTCACAATTGTTGCGAGAACTAGTATAATTATTGATAATACTCGAACGCAAAGCATGTCAGATCTGATCTGTCCATTCCGTATCGTACGGGCTATTTACTGTATTTTTTCGTCCGCCACAAAAAATCGGAACGCTTCGATGCAAAATATAGACAAGCCAAAATAGAGACTCTGAAGTACAGGAATATAAACCCAGTACTTGACTTTTTGTTTATCATTGTCGCAACTCGTACGAGTATCTAATCTGTTCACATATATCACCTGCTAATTCATTTTCGATAATGGTGTAGATATTTTGTTATTACAAACGGTAGATTCGAGTGGATGTGTAAAAAATTGCCAATGAATTATTTATCCTTCTAGTAAGTAAGCAGATTGATTTTCTGATTGATAATTAAAAAATTGCAATTTATGTATCGGCCATAGCAAAACTGAGTCCCAAAATTAGATAGCAATCTCTCGAATGCATATAAAATACAAAAACAATAATGTTCTGGAGATCCAAAGATCCCTAAAAGACGTTACTGAAAACCGGTTTTTCTTGTATAACTTTTGAATAACATTTTGACAACTCAGTAACCAGTTGGGGTGTCAGGTGGTAGTGTCCATGGAAAATGATTATCTTATTTGGATCGCCAGGGTCCAACTTTAACTAACGTAATATTTCTGATTTCATACAGCCTTTATAAAGCGCATAAACGATGTGCTTACACTCACACAGGATATGATTCCTCAAATAATTCCATAGAGGAAAGTTCATACGAACAAATGTCTTCAAAGGCTTGAACTTTAAGAAAAAATGTTTTCACTTTATCTTCAGAAGTACTTTAGATTATATTTTCATGTTTGGCATGGATATAAAATGACACACTTTAGTGTACTGTTGCGCTACCAGTGGCGTCACTGCAAACATGTCTGAAGATATTTTTTACAAAAAATTGGTACGTCTATGATTTTTTCGAATTGGATATTTTTTCTAGTTACCATGATCATTTCTACACAAAAATCCTCTCTTACTGTTTTCTCCTCAGATGCATCGTTTTTGATTAAAAGAACAACATGGCAAATGCTAAATAAAAAAGAAGACAGACAGTCCAGAGATAAGAGACCATGCCCATACCATGCTGATGAGTAGCTAAGAAGCACGAAACAGCTGTCCATGGTTGGTTGTCTGCTTTTCTTGGTCGGGCGGATGAAGGCATCTCATTTTGTTTTGACTTGTTCAATGAGGCCAGCAGACCCCTCTGCATTCTGCCAGTATCATCAGCCATTTAGCGGCACTGCTATTGAACGGGAACAACAACTAATAGCAGCGGTACGCGATTTACAATGGTTCGATTCTGGTGCGATAGATGGCGGTTCGCGCCATCTCATGCTGATAAACCGCACCTCCGGTATAGAGGATCAATGTGAATCTGCCATTGCTAAATTGATAAATAACATTTAAAGTACTTTCGAAACTGAACAATAGAAACGATTTTTCTCTTAAAATTTTAACGACTTGCCATAAAAAAATAATGTATAAATTTTTATTCATAAAATTATCTGAGGAATCATATCCTGGAGTATTAGCATTAGCACTAAAGGAACACGTTGTATAATATACTAAGTGACATATAAATCCGAACACCCAGTTTAAATGGTTTTATTTTAATAAAATTTTGTATAAGTACTTAATGAAGCATAATAAGTAAATGATAAAAATTTCAAAATGATTGCACTGTTTTAAAGCCCTTTGACTTTTAATAATGTGTGGATGCACCCTGATGTGCTACGCATTCTCCAACGCGCCTAGGCATGCTTCTGATCAGGTGGTCAATGTCCTCCTGTGGTATCTCATTCCAGGCAACCATCAACTCCTCTCGAAGTGCTTCTAGAGTCTGAGGAGGACGTTGCAAATTGAGCAATCTCCTACCCATCATATTCCACACGTGCTCAATTGGGGATAAGTCGGGAGATCTTGGTGGCCATGGTAACAATGTGACATCATTATGTTGAAAGAAGTCTATTGTGACTCTTACAACATGTGGTCGGGCATTATCTTGTTGGAAAGTTGGATCTGCCAGGGTGTCAAGATAGGGTAAAAGATGGGGTTCTAGAACTTCGTGGATATAACGCTGCGCGTTCATGTTACCTCTGATGAAGATTAAAGGTGACCTGGAACCATAAGCTATAGCACCCCAAACCATAACTCCAACAGTGTGATGAACATGTCTTTCAACAAAAAACTGTGGATTCCTCCTTTCACCACGTCGCCTTCTAACCCTGG